ATTTTTTTAAAGAAAAGCAGCATTAAGCAACTTTTCTCCATATCTTGGAAAATTAAACACTAGTAAAATTTGGTTCAGTCTTTTTAATATTCTGAATCTTCTGTAGTGGATATTGGCTTTGGTATTCTACACAGAATAAATGCTCTGTTTTTAAATTTGAGAACTGATGCTCTAGTTTCTCCTTGTGAATTAATACTATCATCTTGGAAAGGTGGATTATAAGTAATGATGGTTTTTGTGATGGTTTAACATTGTCTCGTTTCAAGTAGAAGTTTTAGCATCATGGGTTTTTGCAGTAAAACTTTGCATTTTAATTATATCAGAATGCATTCATTTCAGGTGACGTTTGCACTTTTAAGAAATGATGTAAATGCTCTAGGCTGTTTTAGATTTAGGGACAGAAAATGGAAGAGTTTAAGAGATAATTTCAAGAGCAAATATACATATGGAATTTATATTTAACATTACTAGAAGTTATAGTAAATGTCTGTTTAATACATTTATGTTTAAGTGCTTACTTTAAATTTTTACAAAACTAAATAAAAGGCCACTTCATGTTAGCATAACACAAGCACTCACAAAATTAGCCAACAACTGATTTAGGAGAGTGCTGTCCTTCTGTTCCTTCCTCCTTGTGTATGAGGTCAACCTGATTTTTTAAATATGTCTCTTTATTATATAAGAAAGAACTAAAAACAAATATTGTTTTGTGTGAATCATTTCAGTTTTATGGCTATGAGAATACAATGTTTCCAGCATTAAAATTTTGTGTACAATTTTATAGCTAGTAAGAGTTAAGATTTAGCAAAGGTAGATGCTATTTATGGTATAATAAGTTCAGCTTTATTTTATTGCCCTTGTAGTGAAAGAAGAGCTATGTTAGCTTCCCAGATGTCCCTCACACCGCTGGGAAGGAATGCACGGAACATCCCAGCAACACTGGCCCTTGAGTCTAAGGAACTTGTTAAATCTGTCCGTGCCATCCTCGACATGGATTGTAAGTTTTCTGCATTTTTTTTCACTCTTTCAAAAATGATTCATTTAACAAAGCAAAAGAAGAAAATGTCAAATTTGATAGTTTAATCTTATTAAGTGTATTGGTTTTCCTGCAGTAAAATTGATTGCTTATCTATAAAAATCTTAACACAGCTCTTTGTAGCAGGAGAATATTTGCTTTATTTAAAGTGCTCAAAGTGGCTTCCAGCAGAAGATAGCTGATTAAGACATCTCTTTACCTCTACTTCCATCTAAAGTCTCTTTGAAATGGAAGAATAAATATGAAAATAAATCCACAACAGCACTGGAAACTGGAAGGGGGGAATCAATTTTGAGGAGTTTTTAAAATAATATACAACAGATGGAAAAAGATTAAAGGTACAGCCCAGCTGAGCAAAAGACCCCAGAACACAGTAAAGATGAAAGACAAGACTGCC